TAAGCTACACGTCCTTCATAGGGATCTGTTTACTTTCATGCTAGACCTATTTACCGTACCTATATAATTTGTGGACGCCCAGTCTAATCATCATATCTCTCCCTCTGAGGGGGGTGTGCTGACATCCCTCCATAATGAAAAAGTTAATGTATGTGAGTGTTTCAACATCGAACATCGTCCATCAATGCATAATTCGACCACAGTTCAGGCCGCTGGCCTTCTCGAAAAACCAGTAACCTGGAGCTCAAAAAATAAACAAATAGAACACCTGCGGGACCTTCATCCTGCCTTTTCGTTGCCGCTGCGTACACTCCTTATCCCTGAGACGGAGTAGGCGTGGCATTTGAACATGGCATAGAATGGGTTACTCGTGGATATTTCAGTTTGAGACAACTGTCATCTTGTTCAGTGTTGGACAGAGACATGACCACAATTGTGTCGAAATGAAAATATCTCTCCAAAAGCACAGCCACCGCCACGTTTAGTTGAAGTACGCAGCCACGCCTACCACATCTCAGGGATTTCGAGTGTACATCCACTCTCACTCTCATTTGTACATGGTGCGCCCATGAATCCTTCTCGCGATTGGGAGCGGATGAGCGGGTGCAACATTCCAGTCATCCCACTAACTCAATTTTTCTCTCTTATCTTCTTGTCTGGACACTCATGAATCACATGGCTAATTGATTCGATATAGACGATTCTACTCAACAGTTTGTAGGCTATTAGCAGGCCACCTCCAATTTGCGCTGTCGTTCTTTTTGGACTTTGCAGTGCCCTAAGAGAACCATATAATGAATCTTTGAAATAAATATTGTTAATCAGTACGCAAGAAAATTGCTGGTCCTCTTTGTAAGCGGGGCGGTGGGGGGGGGGAGTGGGGGGCGGGGGAGGGGGAGGAATTCCAGTATATTTTTGCCAACATAACAGGACGGCGAAGCAGCTGATTTCCATGGAATTCGGCTACGAGCTCCGTTTTTTTCAGCTCTTTAAGCTTCGAAAAGTGAAGCGTGAGGTTTAGTTTTGAGCATTGTTAAATTGTACTGGGACCTCTGATGAATCTGAAGAAAGTGGTAAAGCCATTCGAAAAAATGCCTGAAGAGAAGGCAAAATGCAAGGAAAGGCATAGGTAATGGAGCATAAAAAATAAAGGAGGTCAGAGCCAGTACAATCCAAAATTGTTTGAAATGGCTTACCTTCCACTTTCAAAGCTTGAAGAGCTTAAAAAGTAGGAATTCGCAGTAGCCGAAATTCCATCAATCGGGGAGCGTGAGTTCAGACCGCTCCCCGAGCCGACAAGCCAAAGCTGTCGCGTCACAGTGCAGGCCCGCCCCGACAGTACCGCACACTGATGAAAGGACTGACCTTTCGTATCACCTCACGCCACTTTCAAATGCGCACTCAAACGTTACAGCACACAAACGACATTACAGGAAATTTCGACATTACAAAACAGCCAAGCCATGGTCTACAGTGACGCTTCCCAAAAAGGGACTGATCATGGGCGAAGACGCTACCCCTAATCCGTTACCATTATCTTAACTCAGAATTTACAGGTTTAGTACTACCCCGCTAAATAACCAAACCCACAAGTGTAAGAAGCTCGCAAAGGCATTTAAAGCCTTCTATCGCACCTGGCAGATGAATTATCACTTTTCGGACCATACAAGCGAGTGTCTTAGCGTTCTTTGTTTTCCCATTTCCTTGCCTTACTCAATGCTTTCATAATCAGCCAAATAAAAGGAAAAGTTTGAATAGCTATGTTGCAGCCTATTCTACGGGGTGAGTTCGTCATCGGCCACAGTTCAATGCCGTCAAGAGACCGGCTCATATCATCAAAAGCTTGCGCGTATTCTGTGGTCGAAAATTGCTGACAAATAGAACGATTGCGAAACTCTTGTCCTTATCTCGAAATACTAGAAAGGCGTCTCCGATCAAGTTTTCTTATCACTGGTGTTTCCAGAAAACTTATTCATTTCAAACAGTTTTTTTTGTCAGCAATTACTGTTGCAGGGGGAAGGGAGTGAGTTTCAGCGCAGCTGGTGCACGCTTTTCCACTAGTTGTGGTGGGCTCAGATTTTCGTCCATTGGTGGAATAGGCAGCCCTGGCTACCCTCCAATCCGCGCCCTCAAAAGCCCTCCCATCTTCAGCGATTGTGACTGTATGTTCACTTAGTTCTCAGGTTCTTTGGAATAAGTTGCCATACCTTAAACAAAATGGGTTTGACCAGGAGTTTTGTAAGCAGATCCACGTGGTGCTGGGTTATCAGCGACATTTCCAAGAAACTTGCCCTTCTATCTTATCTCCGATGGCAAAATGTTCGAGCACCTTCTAGCCTCTAAACGTCACAAGCGGTTCCTACTACACCCTTTCAGGCACCGGCTTACTTCCTTTTTGTTGACTTCTTAACAATAATCAGGAAATCAAGACCCTTACGCACCCTTTTGGCTGGTCTAGGACTCCCCTACCCTCCCCCCCCCCACCTGCCCCTTCTCTTGCTTACTCCCATTCCGATAATGCGTGTGGGTGGTCTCCACAGCTTCCCAGAAAAGTATTTTGTGCAGTTGGAAAACATCTGGCATTGACTTTTTCAACGCAGATGAAAGGACTCGCAGTTGAGTGTCGCTGACTATTCATTTGGAAATCAGTTCCCATGGCGATTTGATCTTAGGAGGGTTTCCGTTCAGTAGAGTTCAGAGACTAAGTGTAAGTTTTCAGCCAATTTCTAGTTGATTGGTATGCTTGCAACGAGAGGCGTTCTTGGATGTTTGCTCTATGATCACCTCTGTTTGCATATTGCTGCCCATACTATAGCACCAGGTGTTAGAGATAAGATGGCACTTGCAACGCGAAGCGACACTTTCCCAACAGAGAATCTTTCCCCTTCGATGTGATCAGCTTCATTCTTCCGCTGCAACCTCAATTTCTTCTCGAAACTTGGGCACCGAGCTTCTCATATTTACAAAATATCGCCCGTGTCTTTTTACAGGCCACCGTAGACTAAAGGAAAGTGGTGGAGACATCTCCGTTCATCCCTGTCACCTCCAAGAGCTGTCTAGCAGTTTATTCCTACTCAGCTTCTCAACACTTGTCCGGTCCAGTTCCCGAAGAAGTTCAAGCGCTGGTTCTACAGACATTCTGTCGGAAGGCGGGCTCCAGGATGACCCCCTGGATGGTATGGGCAGGCAAAGACAGTGAAATATTGCCATTAGCGTGCTCCTCTTCCTTGGCTCTCAATGGGAGGGTGGCGCCAATGAAGTGATTCTTTGTCTTTACCTGAACGATGACCACGAAATGAGCTTTTTCATTCTTACATTATCTGCAATCCGCGGGTAATCCGACAGGCTCCTAGGAGAGGAGCGGTTTTCGACGCCATCCTTGAAGCCCCTGTGCCTGTGTGTTTCTCTCTCCCCTCTCTCTC